TGCTATTGAAAATTATCAAAATACTCTCGAGTTACAACTCGTTGATTCCAGTAAAAATAATCCTAACCTTTATAGGAAACTTCTTAAAGATACTTTTAAAACTAAATCAACTACAGACATTCCTCCTTTACAATACACATCTGCATCTGGTGATGTCAATTTTGCTTTTTCTGATGTAGATAAGATAACAGTACTTAACAATTATTTTGCTTCAGTTACCAGTGTTGATGATGATAAGTCTGATTTACCTAAAGAAATTACTAAGTGTGATAGTGTTTTTGACAATATTTCTATTTTTGAACAAGAAGTGTTTGATATTTTATCTATATTACCTGTTAACAAAGCCATTGGAGAAGACTGTATTAGTCATAAAATGTTAAAATCAACAAAACTTACTGTTGTCAAACCTCTATGTTTACTGTTTAATCGCTCATTGAAAGACTGTGTTTTTCCTCAAAAATGGAAATTAGCTAATGTTATTCCTCTCTTTAAAAAAGACGATCCAGCTGTTTTCAAACTATAGACCTATTTCATTGTTAAGTTGTGTTGGTAAAGTCATGGAACGTATTGTATTTAAACACTTGTATAACTTCTTTCATTGTAATAATATTTTTTACAAATACCATGCTGGTTTCTTGCCTGGTCATTCTACGGTTAATCAATTGTTAGAAACATACGATAATATTGTTAGAAATATTGATGATGGTAAATCCAGTTGTATGATTTTTTGTGACTTAGCTAAGGCTTTCGACCGTGTCTGGCACAAAGGGCTCTTGTTTAAGCTAAACATGTATGGCATAGAGAGTAATATGTACTTTTGGTTAAAAAGTTATTTAGAAAATAGAACACAAAGAGTTATTTACAAAGAATTGGTATCCCCTTTGGCTTCCTTATATGCCGGCGTTCCACAAGGCTCTGTATTAGGTCCATTATTATTTTTAATTTATGTAAATGATGTATCTGACAAGATGTCAAGCTTTTGTAGATTATTCGCTGATGATAACAGTTTGCAGTACGCATCTAAATGTGTTAAATCTATAGAAAGTAATCTGAATAATGATCTTTTATCTCTTGAAGAGTGGTCAAACAAATGGTTACTAAAATTTAATCCATCCAAAACTAAGGTTGTATTTTTTAGCACAAGAAAAAACATAGAACCTCCCAAACTCCTATTCCAAGATAGCCAATTAGAATATGTTCAAACTCATAAACATTTAGGGGTAACTTTTTCATATAACTTAAGTTGGTCAACTCACATTGAAATCTTACTGTCTAATGCATACAAAAAAATTGGTCTATTAAAAAAACTTAAATTTAAAATAAATCGAATGACTCTTTCACTCATGAATACTTCATTTATCCGCCCTCAGCTCGAATACGCTTCAGTTGTATGGGGTGGTTGTCTAGCTATCGCCTCTGAAAAATTAGAGAAATTGCAACTACACGCAGCACGGATTGTTACTGGCTTGACCTTAATTGCATCTAGAGACTCTTTGTACTTTGAAACAGGCTGGGAACCGCTCATTGATAGACGCAAGATTCAGAGATTGAATACCATGTATAAAATTCATTATAATTTATTTCCTGATTATCTACGTGAAATTATACCTGAAACGCGATGTAATGTTTCCGCGTATACAACAAGAAACTCTCAAAATTATAAAATACCCGTCTGTAGACTGCAAGTATACAAATCATCATTTGTACCAACTGTAGTAAACGAGTGGAATTCAGACTCTCGAGCTCCTTATCTGCTTTTGAAAGTAAAATCACACAAAAATAACAATAGCCCCGCCTTATTTCAGTTTTGAAAAAAGACGCTACAATATACTGCACACTAGACTCCGACACAATTGTGTGCTAAACATTGATCTTTATAGGTGTAACATAATATCTAGTCCATTATGCTCTTGTGGTAAGGTAGAAGACACACATCATTATTTTTTCTCATGTCCTAATTACACTGAGGCCAGGAAAGATTTCTTCGATAAGTTTTTGAGATTTAATAAAGTTCATATTGTTGACACTCATACTTTACTCTGGGGGGATACTTCACTCAGTATTGCTGAAAATGAATATCTCTTCTCTATTGTTCAATCTTATATTCAGCATTCAGGCAGATTTAATTGATTTTTCTAAAAATGTGTATAAATAATAATTTAGCAGTATATGTTTCTATGTTGTGAGTTAATTTACTTTGTACATGCTGTTGGACTCGACTGATTGAATTTTTTGTGATATAACATGTAGGGAGAGGGCGAATTAAGATTTTAGAACTTGTGCCCAATCCTATTGTATATATTTATTGCAATAAAATATGTTCAAACTAAGCTAATATATATAATATGCCTTACCTTCTGCATCCACTATCATAGGCCTGGATATATGTTATAATTTTTAAAGACCCAAAAATAAAAACATGACTCTGCTTCATGTTTATTAAAAAAAAGCAATTATAATCAGATATAAAAACATTTTATTTAAAAAAAAAAAAAAACACTACATGTTAAAGGGACATATGCTTTAAAATTCCCACGAATCAAAATAACTGTATAAACCACATTAATTCCAAATGAAGTGTAATTAAGCCTGGCTGATTGTTTTGTTAATATGTAGCCATTAAAGCAATCTAAAAAGCAAACAAGGACATTGAAAAATTTCCAAGAGGAAATTCTTTTCCTTATGGGGAAGGACTGAATTTCATTTCAAATTGGCATTACAATTCAATAGCAAAAAAGAAAAGGATAACAGTTTTTAAGAAGGAAAAAGGAGCATCAGAGGTACCATTGTTTGAATACATTTATTACTTGACTTATGAGACTTGCAGCCTCTGTAAAAGAATAAATTGGAGAAAGAAACTGATCATATTGATTCTTTTTTTTTGTTCCTCTGTCATATTTTCATATTCACAGAATGAAATTACCCCATGACAACGACAGAATGGTGGTTGAATGGTAAATAAATGGCTACTGAAACATCACTCAAAGTCACATATTAAAGGAGTCTTTCAGTGACATTTCAGTTGCCATTTATTCATATAATTTCAGTGTTCTTTTAGTTACACTTTTGTCAATCAGTTACACTTCTTTATTCATACTTAAAAATTGTAAAGGAACTTTTGGAAAATTTGAAATCACAAAATTTTACCAAAATCAATAACATACAATTTTTTTCAACTCTGTATGCAACCATTCCCCATGATAAATTAGAGTCCAGGCATTTTTGACATCATTGACAGCTGCTTTTTTGATAAAAAAAAATGGTAGCTTAACTTGTCATTGGTTATTTGCAAAATTGTTTTGTTGAAAAACATTCTGATTGTATAAACAAGTACTCTGAAGTTGATATTAAGAGATGCTTGAGTTTCTGATTGACAATATCTATGTGGTTTTCGGAGACCAGGTCTTACAACAATCTGTAGGAATTCCCATTTGTACCAATTGCGTCCCATTATTCGCAGACTTATTTTTGTATTCATATGTAGCAGAATTTATTCAAAATTTATACATTGTAGATTAGAAGAAGACAACACTCGCTGTGGCCTTCAACTCAACATTTAGTTAAATCGACGAAGTGTTATCAATTAACAATAGTTACTTCCATTCATATGTCGACTCGTTAACACCCCAGAGAGCTTGAAATAAAAGATACCACAAAGTCTGACATATCGTTTCACATTTGGATATTTTAATAGAAAGAGACGTTAATAATTATCTAACAAACAAGCTTTATGATAAACGTGATGACTTCACTTTTCAATCGTCAACTTTCCTTACTTATGCAGCAATTTACCTTCATCACCTGCATAATGGGTTTATATCTCTCAGTTGAGAGCATGTTCTACGTATGAACAATTTCTAAAACGAGGTAAATTATTGACAAACAAGTTGATGAAACAAGAATATTTCGTAAGTTCTTTTGTCGCTAAATGACCTTGTCAGCAAATACAATTTATCAATAAGTCAAATGCTGACTGACATTTTTCATACTAATTGTAAGACCATTATTTACACACTGAATTGTCGACGGATTTTTCCATTATTTCCCGATCATGACAAGGAGCACATGGCGGGTGTGACCGGTTGGCAGGCGATGCTCACTCCTACATGGCACCTGATCCCACCTCTGATTGTTTGGAGGTCCTTGCTTGCTAATTCCTATTTTGTAATGTTTAATGGACTTTTTAGCTTGAATACTGTTCGCTATCTCCATATATTTCATTCTTCTATCTCCCTTGTTCCTGTTATTGATCCGGATGTTACCAAGAAAAAAGTACTTCAGAGACATTACTTAGGGTTCTGATTATTTAGAAAGCTTTAGCGCTTATGTATAGAATTCAAAATATATGTGTTGACAATTTTATGCCACAGAAAGTGAAATATTTATATACCAAGCATAAAAATCTTTCAATCTAAAACGGCCATAAGCATTTTTAAAAACTTTGGGCTTATGTGCTCTTATGTTTTAAATTTTATTTTACTTGTGACTTTCATAATCTATCTTTGGTTTTAAAGTTATGTTTTTGTATCTAAAATACACATTCTATTTTCTCCTGTATTTGAACCTTTTTCCTTGCACCAAGAGACTCATGTCACAAAGCAACTGGAAGAGGAAGAGCGACTCTGACAAGGAAACATAGTACAGGAAAATTAAAAGTTTTATTCCTTAATAAGAGTTGTGTAAAACCACGTGATCTTTTCAATATATTTTATATAAATAGAAGAAAAATGCCTATGGAAAGATATATTACTGTTTATACATGAGGTTAAAGTATCTCACTGTAAAGGTCATAAAACGATTAGCAATACATTTGTGGATAAAAAGATACTGCCCTTCGATGTACCTGTGCTTGAGAGGCTCTAATATTTCCTTTTCTTCCCTCAGAATAACTTATTCATATAGCACAGAACGAATTTGTAAAGAAATGTTAAATTCTCTCTTTCAGTTCACAGACTCGTCAAACATTCTACTGCTTCACTCTGACTTTATATCTGAAATCTCTATTCAACACTCATGCTGTCATATTCAACATCATTGTCACTATCAAAGACATCCTCATCATCCGAAAATTCCTGACTAATATCAATTTCATCTGTTATTTCGAATTTCTTTGCTAAGCTGTACCAATATTTGTGTTTCCTATCGCTAAGATGTGTATTTCCAATATGTACTTCATTTCTGTCATCTGGAATACTATTTAGTGTGCATTCTTTAATATCAGTACTGATTTCTATTAATTGTTTGAGGTTCTTGTTTCTACCAGAATCTTCATCTCTGAACATTAGTGAAACTTCGTTTCTTTTCAGAATTTTCTGTGATCGACGTGGAGTGTATTTTCCTTGTCTTACAGATTCTTGTTCTGAATTTCTTTGCTTAGTTTCTGCAATTATAGAGAAATAAAATTGACAGATTTTAATGATGACACAGCATGTGTCTACAGCATTCAATGATTATATTCTTAGATGAATTGCATTTTAATATATTATATGTGAATGATAAAAACTACCTGCTATCAATGGTATGTCTTTTCTTTTGCTGAAATAGATTTATACACATTCATGCTAAACTTGAAATATTTTAATTATATCTTAGCGCGGTAATATAGTAGATGCTAGACAGCATTTATGGTATCGTCGCATCTTACCGTATATGATGACAGAAAAGAAATGCAATACACCCAAAGGACATAATCATCAGCGTTGAAGTACCAGTAACAATAATCCATGAATTATTCTTAAGAAAACTCTCCAAACTGTTGTCAGCTACAAACATATTTTTGATTATTATAATTATCAGTCTGTTCAAAATGGAGAAAACGTTTATTCAGTAATGCAGGTTTGAAACTTTTTATACTAACAGTTATATTACATATAATTGCTTTTCTTTATAATTTAATACATACTTACCAGCAGGTGCTTGATGGTTACAATTTCCTGTTACTTTATTACAAGTAAACATGCAAGATGTGGGACATTCTGATTTACACAAACGCCCAAAGTAACCTCCTTGACAAACTTCACTGCAGTTTGTACCATATGTCCCATCTTCACAAACTTTTAATATTAGTTTATGACTTTATTTATTAAATATTATGAATATATTCAATATCAAAGTGATGTTTATAAAAGGTTGTAAAATTGACGTAAAGAAAGTACAACTTTAAAATTTAAATCTTCTATATTTTTTTTTTTTTTGAAATTATAAATATTATGGTACTTTACTTTGGCATGACTCGCCTTTCATATAGTAGTCTGAACAACAAATGCTGGGTCTGAAAGAAAAAGAAATATTTGCAATATTTCTTTCAATATTAAGATGTTTCCTCTTAAAAACGATACAAAACCTCTTTCAAAACAAACTTTTCGTCTAGCAAAATATTTTTAAGGTACCTTATTGAGTTTGTAATTCATCCGTTTTTAGTATGTTATTCTTATATACAAGTATATGGCCAATTGTGGTTTTGTCATATTATGAATATTCATATAATATATCAATATGATATCAAGTTCTTAGGTAAAATGCCACTCACCCACAACGATGGATATCATTAGTGGTCTGAGAGAGAATCACCACAAAAGTTTGAAAGAAATATAAAGAATCTATCATCACTACTTTAGATTCCGGCAAACTTTTTCTGACAATTCCGTGTTGTACATGTACCTCTCTATCAGAGATCGAGATCTTAAGAGGAAATTTTTCCATGTGTATCTTATATTTTATACCTTTAACTCAGATACAGTTAAAAATAGAAAAATATACTTCCTGTAATAACTTGAATTTGTTTTGTATATAGGAAGCTTATTCAATAGCATTTTTTCGCTTATTATTTTAAAAGAATATGAAATTTTTTTTGGCATGATAATTCTTATGTCACACACCTGATATATGTCCCAACACTGCAAAGAAATGTATTTTGAAATTCTTTGTAGTTGTCAGTCTGAGCGATAATTCCGATATCTTAATGCAATATTAATGGCAAAAAGCAATGTTTTTATGGCAAAGAAGAAATCTGTAGGCAAATAATTCAATGTTTGGATTTCTCTAGAGGATTTTTGGAATTCGTGTTTTTGTTTGTTTGTTCGTTTGTTTTTTTTTTTTCTTTTTTTTTCAAGTAATAGCATGAACATTAGACATTTGTTTTTGTCTGAATTTTATGATTTTGTTTCAATTTTCTCCATCGTTACGACCTAAAGCATATGTTCCCTAACATTTCCTTTTGTTACCCTAACATTCCTACATCTGTGGTTATTTTCATACATCGTTCTTTCAAAAAACCAAAATGAGGGATCAAGGCGGCTAAAATTATGGATTTCCTCTTATCTTAATGTTTGTTTTCATGCTAATACCTATAAATATTTATAGCATTAAATAATTATTAGTCTAAGGTTGAAAGAAAAATGCCTGGTTATGTATGATTGAATTTTTGGATGATTTGACACCAGTAGAATTCTGGATAATTGTGAATAAATACGAGGTGTAAATGTTGCATTATGATCATTTTGTATCTCTACATATATACAATATTTTTATCACTGTAATCCGATCTCATGTATTTCTTTGTTTGCTATCTAATCATAAATGTTCTTACCGTTCACGGTAGCTCTGTCGGTAGAGCGCTCGCTTCGTGATCGGGAGGTCGTGAGTTCGAATCTCGGCCGCGACTGACCCAAGTCGAAGAAAATGGGTAACAACTGTTCTTTCGCCATGCGCTCGGCACTTTGAAGTGAAAGTTGCGGGTCCTTCGGATGAGACCTTAAAAACCGAGGCCCCGTGTCTAGGCAGACGTTGGCACGATAAAGATCCCTCACTGATTAATGGCCATGAGTGCCGAGTAAAGGTCAAAATTTTAAGCCCTTCACTTGTATATTCTGACGTCTCTATATGAGTGAAAAATTCTGGAATAGGACTTAAAACAACATACAATCAATCATTCAACCAATATTCCTGGAAACATCGTGTAGTGTCTATGTAGTGCTATTTCTTGTGTCAGCAATCTCGCATGTCTCTTTTGATTCATTACTACCTTACGTAAATCAACAGTCAGGTCTACATCATATTCGCACCAAACTTTACTCTGTCTCTCTAAAAAACTTTGAAATAGTCTTCTTGAAAAGGTCAAGGAAAGTCCCTTTCTTGATTCCTCAACACCAGAATATAGGCTCGGATCTGTGATTATGGATATTGCAAATCATAGGTTTTTTAGACCGCCACGTTTAACTGAAGAAAATGCAGCTAAAACAATCCGTTATTCCCTTATACTTCAATATGCCAAAAAAGGGATTGACGCGGTTAATATAAGTAATATTCTTAATCACAAAAGGGTCCAGTCCTGTATTCCACCATATTTCAAGTTAAAAGACTACACCTTGTATTTCCTACAAAAATAAATCGACTATTGCTTCCAAACTTTTTAATTACAAGAAAACTTTATAGGGCCTGGATATCGAATATTTGAAACATAATCCTCCATCGTGTTCATGTTCTTCTTCACCCTATAACTATGTTCTGCTGAACACGTTATTACTGGTGACGTAAATATAGTTAATAATGAGGACCTTAGATCATTAATTTTAAAAGGTCTTAAGTATAGGGAACCCCGATCCTTCAACTGGCGTCGGAATTTCATAAATATTATGGAATCTGTAGAGGATTACTCCAGGCTTTGGGTCAGACATGAAAAAGAAGACCTTAACACTTTGTCAGAATGGATTAAATGTATCAGATATATGTTAAAATCTTGCATTTAAAGATTGAGGGGCAGTATGAAAACCATCTATCATTCTGTATTCAATAATTCAGACGTGAAAAAAGAATTAGATAGATTACACGATCAGTACGTACTGGTCCATGCTGACAAAGCAGGTAACAACATTATCTTTGTTTGTAAGGTTCATTATATATACATTGTATTTTAGAGGAACTGGGATTTAATTCTACAAGTGGAAATCCAACTTATACCCATAGCTCCCTTTCTTAGGAGGAAATTCTTCAAAATTACATATCAGTTTTGAATATTTTTGGTATTCCCAAACAACTCCAGTAAATGTTCTACCAAGCCTCTTTCTTTACTCCTCACTAAGATATTAACAATGATGAAGGAGAAACTTCAAAAGTACTGTGCAACAGTATATTCGAGAAGTGGTGTAAATCAGACGTGGACATAAAAATATTCCAAGGAACCTTTGGAACATTTGAGATCACAAGATTTTACCAAAATCAACAACATAAAAACTTAATTACGACTTTTCAACTTTTTATACAACTATTCCCCAGGATAAATTAAAGTCCAGACTTTCTGATATCTTTGACAGGTGCTTTTTCAATCTAAATGGAACTCGTAAATTTACTTACCTTGTCATTGGCCATTTTCAAAATTAATTTTTAAAAAAAACAATCTGATTGTACATACAAGCACTCTGAAGTTGACATTAAAAAGATGCTCGAGTTTCTGATTGACAATATCTATATGGTTTTTGGAGACCAGGACTTCCAACAATCTATTGGAATTTCCATGGGTACCAATTGTGCCCCGTTATAAGTAGACCTTTTTTTTGTATTCATATGAAGCAGAATTTGTTGAAAATCTTATACGTGAAAAGAAGAAAAACACTTGCTGTGGCCTTCAATTCGACATTTAGATATATCGACGACGTATTGTCAATTAACAATTGTTATTTCCATTCTGATGTCGACACGATATATCCCAGTGAGCTTGAGATAAAACATATCACAGAGTCTGACATATCTGTTTCATATTTGGATATTTTATTAGAAAAAAGACGTTATTGGTAATCTAACAACCAAGCTTTATGATAAACGTGATGAGTTTAACTTTTCAATCGTCAACTTCCCTAACTTATGCAGCAATATACCCTTAACACCTGCATGCGGGGTTTATATCTCTCAATTGATTCGATACGCCAGTGCATGCTCTACGTATGAACAATTTTTAAAACGAGGTAAGTTATCTATCCCTCTGTATTCAATAACCCAGAAGTGAAAAAGAATTAGATAGATTACATGATCAGTACGTACTGGTCCCTGCTGACAAAGCAGGTAACAACATTGTCTTTGTTTGTAAGGCTCATTATATTAAATGTATTTTAGAGGAACTTGGATTAAATTCTACAAGTGGTATTCCAACTTATACTCATAGTTCCCTTTCTAAGGAAGAAATTCTTCAAATTCATGTCAGTTTTGAATATTCTTACTTTTCCAAGCAAACAAAATGAATTCGAATTACCATATCTATATTGGATTCCGAAACTTCATTAAAATCCTTACAAACAAAGATACATAGCGGATTCTAGTATAAATGTTCAACCAAGCCTCTTTCTTTATTCCTCACTAAGATTTTAGCAGTAGTGAAGGAGAAAAGAAACCTCAAGAGTACTGTGCAACAATATACTCGAGAAGTGGTGTAAATCAGATGTGGATACCTAAAAATTCCAAGGAAATTTTGAAAAATTTGAAATCACAAGATTTTACCAAAATCAACAATATATTTCAATAAAAATAAAATTCGTAAATTTACTTACCTTGTCATTGGTCATTTTCAAAATTAATTTGTTAAAAAACATTATGATTCTAGACACAAGTATCCTGAAGTTGACATTAAAAAGACGCTTGAGTTTCTGACAATATCTATGTGGTTTTTGGAGACCAGGTCTTCCAACAATCAATTGGAATTCCCATGGGTACAAATTGCGCCCCGTTATTAGCACAACTTTTTTGTATTTATATGAATCAGATTTTGTCCAAAATCTTATGCGTGAAAGAAGAAAACACTTGCTGTGGCCTTCAATTCTACATTTTGATTCATCGACGACGATTTGTCTATTAACAATTGTTATTTCCAATCTGATGTCGATACCATATATCCCGGTGAGCTTGGGATAAAAGATACCACAGAGTTTGACCCACCTGTTTCATATTTGGATATTTTACTTGAAAAAGACGTTGATGGTAATCTAACAGCCAAGCTTTATGATAAACGTGATGACTTTAACTTTTCAATCGTCAACTTTCCTTACTTATGCAGCAAAATACCTTTATCACCTGTATACGTGGTTTATATCTCTCACTTGATTCGATACGCAAGAGTATATACCATTTCTAAAACGAGGTAAATTGTTGACAAACAAGTTGCTGAAACAAGAATATCAGCAGTTTCGTTTAAAGTCATCATTTCGTAAGTTCTATGGTCGATACAATGACCTTGTCCGCAAATTCAATTTATCATTGAGTTAAATGCTAATTTACGTTTTTCATACTAATTGTTAGGGAATTATTTACATACTGAATTGTCAATGGATTTGGCCGTTATTTCCCGATCTTGACATGAAGCACATGCGTACGGCGGGTGTGACCTGTCGGCAGGGGATGCTCACTACTCCATTGCACCTGATCTCGCTTCTGATGGTTTAGAGGTCCGTGTTTGCTCTGCTCCTATTTTGTATTCTTTAATGGACTTTTGAGCTTGAATACTGTTCGTTATCTCCGTATATTTCGCTACGTTCAAACAAACATCCTTTACGGGATAAAAAGT